GTTAAAGACACAGTTACATATTTCTTTGTGTAATTTAAAAAATTATGCCTGTAGTACATCCTGATTATATTTTTATAACTAGTATGAAGTAAGGAGATTACTTTTCATTAAATGAAAGCCAGTGCTCTTGATACCATTTCTTTAAAAATCTAGAAAAATGTAATATGTGGGGGGAAGTTAGAGTCACAGAACGTCAGAGCCACAAAAAACAAAAAATGAAAAACAAAACAAAAAAAACAAAAATGAACAAAAAACCCTGTTCAATGTCCAGTGTTTCAGGCAAGGGACCGGGGGTCCAGAAGCATTCAGTAACCTACTCAAGGCCACCCAGTGGGGAAGCGGCAGAATCAGAAATCAAACGCAGGCTGCCTATGGCCCCGCTCAGTCTTTCTGGAATTCTTCTAAAGACATTCTGCCAACATCACTTGAACGTGCTTCCTGGATCCCATGCACACTTCTTAAACTAGCTAAAGTAACTATTCTAGGCATTCTAGTATACATCCCTGCACCGAGTGTGTGTGCATGCGTGAGTTGCATGTGCACACACACATGTGTGAGTGCGTGTGTGTTTGTTACTAAAACTCTTTGTGTTACCCTACTCCACTTAAATTTACATATATTGAGGTCCAGGCCCCCTAGGTGAAAAGGAACAACTACATTTGATTCAAATAGAATAATTTTTGGTAATTTGTTTCAAATAGAAGAAGAATATAATTCCTGGAAACACCATGAATTCTTTTTTTTTAACTAATCAAGGCATTCACTCCACCAAATTAAGAAAGAGCAGGAGGTCTTGGTCATGATTGGCTGAGGGAATGAACAACAGACCATGCATCCGTATCAACAGCCAGCTTGGTAGGTATGGAACAGAACAATGCATAACATGTTTTGGGGGAAATCCGCTCTAATTCCAGGGCAATCCACACAACCCCAAATACAGAATATAGGCTTTCTTGACATTGCCACATAAAAGCAGAATGCTCAGTTTAAATCTCCAACTTAAAAAAAAGAACTTTGAGTTTTCCTGTTCAGAGATTAAGATATATGGTTAAAGCTGCCCTTCATGCATCCTTCGTACATTGTTGGCAGGAGACAAAGCACCCACATTTCACAGGAGACCCTGAGGGATGAAGAAAAAAATGTGAAGCTGTGTTGGGCAGGAGAGAAAGAGAGGAGACAGCGTGAAACTAAGCTTACCCCAACAGACACAAGGATACAAGGTTCCTGGAACCAGTCTAGGTGTTTAGACCTTGTATCATTCACAAAGCAAGAGAAACTCCCAACAAAGAGGGGCTTTTAAAAAAGGAGGAGCAGGGGCGCCTGGGTAGCTCAGTCGTTAAGCGTCTGTCTTCGGCTCAGGTCATGATCCCAGGGTCCTGGGATCGAGCCCCGCATCAGGCTCCCTGCTCCGTGGGAAGCCTGCTTCTCCCTCTCCCACTCCCCCTGCTTGTGTTCCCTCTCTCGCTGTGTCTCTCTCTGTCAAATAAACAAAATCTTAAAAAAAAATAAAAATAAAAAATAAAAAAGGAGGAGCAAAGGAGTTTGTTTTTCTGACACAGAAAGTCTGGAGGCAGACAATCCAAAGCTCAACCATGCTCTTTCATCTTTCCTCTTTGCCATTTCCAGTTGACAGCTTCATAGTCACAGTATGGCTGCTGAACCTCCAGGCATCACACTTTGGTTTAAGAGAGAAAGAATGAGGAAGTGGTAGTGCCAGTTGCATTCGTTTCTCTTATTGTAAAAGCTTTCCTAAACCACCCCCGTTCCCCTGGTAGATGAATTTTGGCTTGTCTATTGGCTCAAACTGCTCCACATGACCATCTCCACACAGATGGAAACAAAGTACAGATATTTATTTCCTTTGTCTAGTCACTGTGGTAACTTCAGCATGTGGAGGCTGGAGCTGGGTGGCCCCAGATCTGAATGATTCTGGGGCTAATCGTCTCTTCTAGAAGTCACTGTACCACCACCATTCCATGGCCTGAAACCAAATCTGAGAAAAGGAGACATATATCTCTAAGATCCCATAATTTTTACAATGAGCCAACGGAAGAGCAAAATAAAACTGGATCCCTGACTCAAGAGAGAACAGAGATCTTAGATTAGATTCACCCATATTCTCAAGGACTGAAAGTGTGTAGTCATGAAAAAGTTCCTTATCCTCTCTAAAACCCACATCTTCATCTGTAAAATGTAAATAATGATTCCTACATTGCAAGTTTGTCATGAGATTTCTTTGGAGTCCTGCAAAGGATGCATCATCTTAAGAATGAAAAGCAAGAGCTTTGCCCTGAGACAGCTGGGTTTAAATTGAACTTGGACACCCACCAGCTGGGTGATCCTGGCTAAGTGATTTATCCTATAATGGCTTCACTTTTCTCATCTGTAAAAGGGGGATAGTGACACACTTCTTCATAGGACTATAATGATAATCAGCAAAAAAAAAAAAAAAAAAAAATCTGGGGAAGCATTTAAAATAGTGCTGGGTATATGGCAAGTATTCAATAAAGACCAGCCGCTCTTACATTTAGGTATCCGTACCTTGCACGGATGTGAGATATAAGAGACAACACTGCTGTTCTTTCCTTTCCCACGCCATGAGATTTTCATGGGGACTGAATAAGGTAACAATTATGACTCTGCTTGGTGAGGTCCAAGGAGTTATTGAAAAGAAAGCATTTACCCTGACTGTGGCAGGGTGTGGGGAGGCTCAGGGAGCAGCCCCTGGGGGCAGCCAGGACCCCGCCGGGTCTGCGGGGCTGATGCTGTGTTCAACTGCACCTGCCTCGTCCCTGTCGAGCACGTTAGCCCGCAGAGATGAAAAGGAGTAAGAGAAGTTTTCGAGCCTTGGCCAAACTCGACAGCTTTCCAGCAGATGGAGGAGTCATGATCTCTCAGACATGTCGTCAAGGAAGAAAGAAAGTCTTCCCCAGGAAGCTGAGTCAGCCCATGCCGTCAGGCAGAGCTCTTGCCATCTCCTCCCTGGCGGACCCTATGTGCCATTGTCAGGCAGCACGGGCATTTGGGGCTCAGAGAGACAGGGACGTAGACAGGGCGACCTCCCCCCCCCACCCCAGATGCACTCCTGGTGTGCCATTGAAGAGGAAATTAGCGTTCGCTTCTGCAACACCAGGAAACGTCCTGTGCAGTACAAAATGGGGATGCAAGGAGGACAGCTGAGTGCTCGGTCTCCCGGGGAGGGGGACCCTGTCCCCAAGCCTAGGGAGCATCCCAGCATCCCGTGGGCTCCTTTGGTCTGTGAAAGAGCAGCGTTTGCCTTGGGAGGTGATCCCTGGGCCTCAGGAGCCCTGAGGACTCTAGGTATTGTCAGTAGGGACAGATGGGGGAGCATCCATGTTCTCTGCCTTTGGAAGGGCACCTGCTGTGCCTTCTCGCTGATGAGAAAGAAAAGAAAGAAAGAAAGAAAGAAAGAAAGAAAGAAAGAAAGAAAGGAAGGAAGGAAGGAAGGAAGGAAGGAAGGAAGGAAGGAAGGAAGGAAGAAGAAAGAAAGAAAGAAAGAAAGAAAGAAAGAAAGAAAGAAAGAAAGAAAGAAAGAAAGAAAGAAAGAAAGAAAGAAAGAAAGAAAGAAAGAAAGAAAGATGTCTCTCTAGTCCTGGAGTTTTCATATTTTATCAGTCCACAGGCCTCAAGGCATGCTCTGGCCCTGCAGAGGATGGAAAGGGAGTTTAAATCTCTACTACAAAATGGAGCGGCTCTTGCCAGAGAACTTGCTAGAAGCTGCCAACCACAAAAGCAGTAGAACAGGTGCTCAGGACTCACTGAATACTAGGGTAGTTAGGGTTTCGTTATCATACTCAGCTCTTCCACGAAACAGCTGCTCTTGGGTATGATTTTGAACTCACAGCTTCTGGCCACCCGATCATCACTCACAGGCAGAAGTAACCCACGGAGAGACGAATTATTAATAAGAATGAGGACACACTGAACGCTGATTCTGCGCGGGGCACTTCCTTTGCTTAGGTTTTTGTGGCGCTAACTCCTTTTTTTTCTTCATGAACACCCTAGAGGGAGGTACTATTTTAACCTCCATTTTAAGATTGACAAAACTGAAGCCGAGAGGAGCAAAGTTAAGTGCCTCGCGTGCACCCAAGCTCCGGGCTTCATCACCGGGTGATGCCCCGTCTCCCTGAGAACGCCGTACACACGCCACCAGCACCTCGGAGCAGAAAATCCGGAATGCAAGGCTCTGCTCCCTGCACAATTCAGCTACCTGTATTTGTGAATGCCGCAAAGAGCACTTCAAGCCAGCAGAAGGGCTCCACGAACAAGAACGGTGGCATTCATTTGTGAATTTATATACATTCTAGAAGCTAAGCAATGTAGAGTAGATTCTGACATTCCTGTCCTGGTCATCTCAGGGATGAGCAGCGTGGCTATGTGAATAATCCAGAGTGTTGCATTCCAGCCTTGTCTTGGGCCACGTGGTCTTCTCTGGAATGTCTCCTTAATCGGCTCTGTTACCAACAAGACTAAGTCTTTGCTTAAGCCCTTTTACTAAGTGCTTTCAAACATTGACTCAACATCAAATCGATTTCTCCAGGAATCTGCTTCCCTCCAATATGCCTCGCCAAGTGTTGCCTTCGACATCTGACAGCTCCCTGTTGGGACGATGGGAGCTTTGTAGGTCGGCCCTTCTTCCTCTGGGGTATGTTCTATGCAAGGCATGATGGGCGGGGAGACTTCCCTGTTAGAGCCGGGACTGTGGGATCCTCTGTCGGGAAGATCTGTGAGTGCCATCTCCATGATAATCCCCATAGAGCACCATTAAATGTCCCTTTGCCAGCCATCGCTAATGGACATGACTATTTAATAATTGAATGCATTATGGGTGCCTGGGTGGCTCAGTTGGTTAGGTGACTGCCTTCAGCTCAGGTCATGATCCTGGAGTCCCGGGATCGAGTCCCGCATCGGGCTCCCTGCTCAGCGGGGAGTCTGCTTCTCCCTCTGACCCACCCCCCTCTCATGTGCTCTCTCTCTCTCTCATTCTCTCTCTCAAATGGATAGATAAAATCTTTAAAAAAATAATAATAATAATAATTGAATGCATTATGTCATGTGAGCCTCCACAACACCTTAGCTAGAGTTTTCCTTGGGCCTCTGCCCTGGGTATCTCAAACCAGCTCAGATGAACACAGACACACCCCAACCTTCCAGTGTTACCTGCCAGCGATATATCGATCAACACGTAATTATTACAGACTTTGTCTGTTTCTGAAATCCATGCCTTCAAGTGAATTTCCTGCTGCAGCCATACCAACTTTGCAATTGTGTTTCTATTGCTCTTGGGCTCTGAGCCACTTGGTACTATACAAATCCAAACAAGGTTTCATCTGAAGAGGATGCTGCCTCTGCTAGCTCAGCCTCCAGATGCAAATCGCCCACTGCAGGTCCCCTGCTTCCACAGAGAAAGGATGTTTATAGACATGGCTTTAAGCGAACAGGAAGATTTCTTCTTTGAGCACTGCCTGTACCGTTCACTCTCCTCTCCTGCCAGGGTCCAATCCTCTGCAGCAGTTTCCTAGGCTGTAAATGAAAAATCTTTCCTCGGGGATGGACAGATGCTAAGCAGCCGAGCTGTTAGTATGTTACTTGACCTTGCCACCAGAGGGAGGATACAGACCCAGAAGTCCACCCTCTCCAGGTGTAGGAGTTTCTTTGTGGCTACTACAAATTCAGTGGCTTGAAAGAACATACATTTAATATTTTATAGTTCTGCAAGTCAGAAGTCTAAAATGGATTGGCAGAGCTTCCTTCTGCGGGCTCTGGGGGCAAATCTGTTTTCTTGCCTTTTTCCAGCTTCTAGAAATCCACCTGCATTCCTTGGCTCATGGTCCCTTCCCCCATTCCTGAAACCAGCAGGATAGCTCCTTCAAATCCCTCTCTCTCTCTCTAACTCGGACATTCATACCTCCCTCTTTATAAAGAAGGATCCTCGCCGTGCCTTCGGGCCCACCAGGAGAACCCAGGGCAATCTCTCCACATCAAGATCCATTAGTCCATCTGCAAAGTCCTTTTGTCATGCAAGGAAACACAGTCACTGGTTCCAAGGATCAGGACGTGGACATCCTGGAAGAGGGGCGTTATTCTGCCTGCCACACTAGGGAAGAAGATAAGATGACCAACCTGAAAAAAAGTAACCCTTCATAGAAAGGGGGAGATCAATTCACAGCAGATTCTTCGGCCACCAAGATGTTCATGGAAGCCCGTGAAGTGAACTTGAAAGATGAACTGACACCCTCTTTGCAGAAGAAGAAACTGAAGCCCAGAGAAGTTAAAAGACTTAGCACACACACACACACACACACACACGAGCTGGTTAATGACCTGACAGGGTCCTCAGTCCAGCACCTGACTCCGAGTCCAGGGTTCTCCTTCCAGCCAGGGTCTTCCACTCCACATCGGATCCGCCCTCTTCTTAAAAGAAATGTGTCACCATACGTAGTCATGTAGTCTCCTGGGGGCTCTTGAAGCTGAGAATCCCTTTCTGCAGGCCCTTCCGTCATGTGCTCTAGAAACGTTGCTCACCATGCAGTGGTATTCTTTGAAGATCCTCTTCTTTCATCCCTGCTCAAAATAGCACCTGCCATAGTGTTAGCCTGGGAATCTTCAGAGCGAGGACCCAAAAGAATGGGTAAATTGATCACCCGGTGAACTGACCTACATTCTGCTTAATTGTTTTTGGCCTGACCATGACCCCAGGCATCAGAGGCAAGAGGAAAAAAGGAGATGGTGAGATCTCAATATGTATAGATTTTATGGCTCTGGTTGATCTTAAAAATTAATAATTGTCGGGAAGAAATTTAAAGAGAAGAGACTTTTAGCATAGTTAATTTTTACAAAAGACCCACTTCTGCTGATGTCTGAGGAAGAAGAAATTATCAAAATGATGACTTGTGGGTTTCTCAGGGGTACATCATCTGGTCTGGTTCAACTGCTCTTTTATTACGATGTGTTGGGTCAAGTTTTATTTTATTACAGAAAAGACTAAATTGGATATCATATATTTTATGTGAGATTTTTTTCAATATAGGCAAAAGACCTCAGATTCTCTCTAATGTACAAAACGCTTTATGTTATCGGATATAATTGAAGAAACAAAGGTTTTAATAAAACATGAACCGAAGATGCTGTCGGAAGATACTTAAGATGTTTCTAAGGTCACCATCAAATGCATAGAATCTCCTAATTTTTTTAACACTTTAGTTGTAAATCCTTTTGGAGAGCTTCAAAAAGACATTCACTTCCTTCTGATTTGATCATTTAGTACATTAGGCAGCTGTTGAGTTTAATTTTCTAATGTGTTTCCAATGGAGATGTACATAGCGTGGCTTGTTTAATATAATTTGTTGTTTATGCTCCAGCATTCATGGTATTATCTGCCTAAATGTGCAAAGAGGGGCTGAGTGAATAGCTGTTTTTGTTTTTCTTTTCTTTCTTCTTTAATTTTTAAATCAGCCAGGGTTTTCTGCATCTTGCAAAACGTAATCAGTACTGGTAGAGTTTACACATTTCAGCAAAAGAATGATACTCCCTCAAAGCGCTCCAGACAGTCCCCAGACCTCCAATTACTATAATAAAAGTTAAGACAGGTAAAATCCCAGGATAATAAATGCTATTGCAAAGGAAGCTTCTATCTGGGAAAGCGATTTTCTCGTCCCAGTAGCAGAGACCAAAGAAATGAGACTTCGCTGGTCGGAACACAGCATGGTATGCACACAGACTGCCCCTCTGTCATCCTCCAGGTCCCACGGACGCCTCGGATTGACGCCCTCTCCCCACTGTTTACCATCTCAGCCGCGGCCACCACCAGCCCCAACCGCCAGGGTCTGCAGTCCAATCATCACCAACCCTATCAGTTTTTATCCTCCGAGTCACTTTCCTTCTGCTCTCACGGCTGGAGCCCCATGATGACGCCAGGGAGCCCTGGGCACTCTTGCCTTCATGGAGCCCTGATGCCATAAAAAAATATATTTAGGGGCGCCTGGGTGGCTCAGTTGGTTAAGCGACTGCCTTCGGCTCGGGTCATGATCCTGGAGTCCCGGGATCGAGTCCCGCATCGGGCTCCCTGCTCGGCAGGGAGTCTGCTTTGCCCTCCGACCCTATCCCTTCTCATGTGTTCCTCTCATTCTCTCTCTCTCAAATAAATAAATAAAATCTTTAAAAATATATATATATTTAAAATTACATCTTATCACTTTGTTCATATAAAGACAGATATAATCCAAGCTCAATTCGTTATTATATGTTCAACATTATTATATTCATTTTGAAATTCTGATTTTAAGCTAAGCAAATTAAACATTTTCACAGGCCACTAACAGGTGCCCTGGGCCGAGGGCATGGGGCCCGCTGTGCTGAATGGCTAAGCTGGACCTGCTCACAGCCCTGACCCTCACTTGTGCTTCTCTGACCGTCCGTTGCCTGGTCTCTGCCCACCTACTCTTGGCAATCCGTTCTCCAGCTGCAGCCAGAGGACCTAAATATTCAAATTTGCATACAATTCTTCAAGGTTTTGCATTGCTTTTTAAAAGATTTTATTTATTTATTTGGCAGAGAGAGAGATAGCGAGAGAGGGAACACAAGCAAGGGGAGTGGGAGAGGGAGAAGCAGGCTTCCTGCGGAGCAGGGAGCCCGATGCAGGGCTCGATCCCAGGACCCTGGGATCGTGACCTGAGCCGAAGGCAGACGCTTAACGACTGAGCCACCCAGGCGCCCCTGCATTGCTTTTTAATTTTTTTTTCATTTTTTAGCTTTGCTGAGATAGAATTGACATATAGTGTAAATTGGAGGTGTTCACGGTAGTGACTTGATACATGTTGTGATGACCACACTAAGTTTAAGTTAACACACTCAGCGACTCACATAGTCACAACTTGTGTGTGTGGTGGAAACGGTTAAGAGTTCCCCTCAGCAGCTTCTGAGTATACAGTACAGCATTGTCAACGATAGTCGCCACGCTGTGTGTACATTATTTCCCTTCTTCAGCTTAGAACTCGTAAGTTTGTACCCTTCGAACACCTTCATCCATTTCAATCCCCCACCAACCACCACCCACACACACACCCCACCCCTGGCAACCACCAGTCTGTTCTCTGAGGCCATGAGTTTGGTGTGTTTCGATTCCACATATAAGTGAGATTATACAACATTGATCATTCTCGTCTAATTTCACTCAGTCTGATGTCCTCCAGCTTCATTCACATTGCAAATGGCAAGATCTCCTTCTCTTTTGTGGCTAAATAATATTCACATCTTCTTTTTATTATTTGAGCACAGGTGACATGCAGTGTTACATTAGTTTCAGGTGTACAAATTAGTGATTCAGCAACTCTCTACTTTATGCGACGCTCACCACAAATGAGCTCCCATCTGTCACCATACAACACCATCACAATTCCATTGACTATATTCCCTGTGCTGTGTCTTTTATTCCCGTGACTTCTTCATTCCATAAGTGGAAGCTTGTCTCTTCCACTCCCCTTCACCCATTTGCCCATCCTCCCACTCCCCTCCCCTCTGGCGACCATCAGTTCTCTGCATTTCTAGGTCTGATTCTGTTTTTTGTTTGTTTATTAATCTGTTTGATTTTTAGATCCACATATAAATGAAGTCATACAGCATTTGTCTTTCTCTGTCTGACTTATTTCACTTAGCATGATACCCTCCAGACCCATCCATATTGTGACAAATGGCAAGATCTCATCCTTAATTATGGCTGAGTAATATTCCATTGTGTATATACACCACATCTTCTTCATCGATTCATCTATCAGTGGACAGTTGGCTTGTTTCTATATTTTGGCTATTGTAAATAATGCTGCAATAAACATAGGGGTGCATGTATCTTTTCAAATTAGTGTTTTCATTTTCATGGGGTAAATACCCAGTCCTGGAATTATTGGTTCATATGGTAGCTCTATTTTTAAGTTTTTGAGGATCCTCCATATTGTTTTCCACGGTGGCTACACCAGCTTGCATGTCCACCAACAGTGCACGAGGGTTCCTTTTTCTCCACATCCTTGACAACACTTGCTATTTCTTGTCTTTTTTATTCTAGCCATTCTGACTGGTGTAAGGTGATATCTCACTATGGTTTTGATTTGCATTTCCCTGATGATGAGTGATATTAAGCATATTTTCCTGTGTCTGTTGGCATTCATATGTCTTCTTTGAAAAAACGTGTATTCAGGTCTTCTCATTTTTAATTGGATTATTTGTTTTTCGGTGTTGAGTTATATTAGCTCTTTATATATTTTGGATATTAACACTTTATCAGATACATCATTTGCAAGTATCTTCTCCCATTCAGTAGGATTTTGGTTTTGTTGATGGTTTCCTTTGCTGTGCGAAAGTTAGTTCAGATAATACCAACTTAATTTCAATAGTATACTAAAACTATTTCATGTTGTTATTGTCATATATTATATCTTTGTATATTGTGCTTGCATCAATATATATTTATACTTCTTGTTTTATGCAGTTGTCATCTAAACCAGATAGGAAAAAAAAAAAAGGAATTGCAAACAACAAAAAATACATTAATACCGTCTTGGGGCACCTGGGTGGCTTAGTCAGTTAAGCATCTGCCTTCAGCTCAGGTCATGATCCCAGGGTCCTGGGATCAAGCCCCATGTTGGGCTCCCTGCTCAGTGGGTAGTCTGCTTCTCCCTCTCCCTCTGCTGCTCCACCTGCTTGTGCTTGCTCTCTCTCTCTGTCAAATAAATAAATAAAATCTTTTTTAAAAAATTTAAAAAACACATTAATACTGTCTTATAGGGGTGCCTGGGTGGCTCAGTCAGTTAAAGTGTCTGCCTTCAGCTCAGGCCATGATCCCAGGGTCCTGGGTTCGAGCCCATCAGGCTCCTTGCTCAGCGGGGAGCCTGCTTCTCCCTCTCCCTCTGCTGCTCCCCCTGCTTGTGCTCTCTCTCCCTCTTTCTCTCTGTCAAATAAATAAATAAACTCTTTAAAAAAACTTATAATTATCTAATGTAGCTATCTTTACATGTGTATTTGACTGACTGTCTAGTGTCCTTTAATTTCAGCCTGATGATGTCTCTGGAATGTTTCTTGTGGGGCACATCTGGTAGAAGCAGATTCTCCTGGGTTTAGTTTATTTGGGGATGTCTTAAATTCTCTATTATTTTTGAAGGATAATGTTGCCTGATACAGATTTTTGGTTGACAATTTTTTTTTTCTCAGCCTTTCCAATATGGCATCTCACTGTCTTCTGGCTTCCATGGTCTCTGATGAGAAGTAAGCTGTACGGCCTATTGAGGATCCCTTGTACATCATACAATGTCATGTCACTTCTCCCTTGTGGCTTTCAAGTTTCTCTCTCTGTCTTTGTCTCTCAACAGTTTGGTTGGAGAAGACCATGTAGTAGGGTAGAAACGTCAGTGGCTTGGAGGTAAACCTGGGTGTTAATCCCAGCTGTGTCCATTTCTAACCGGTTTTCTCATGTCTGATAGGAACATAATACTATCTAATATTAGGGTTATTGCAAAAATAAAATTAAATAATGTAAACGAGTCATGGAAAGCAAGCGATATATCATTGCTCAATTTTTACAGACTTAGGACATGGTTCTGCCCAGAATGGGCTACTATTTTATTCCTAACTGACTGGTTCACATTGGCACTCCCATTTTATTTGTCCTGTACCATTTTCCCTCTACAAGGGCTTATGTCTACAGTCAGAAAACACCACTCATCTATACCCTGGGCTGTTTCAGGGGCCACCCAAACTAGTGCTAGTTCTCTTACAGTATCATCCAGGGGTGTTTAATGGAACATAATGTTGTCATCTCATGGCCCTCTCTGTGATACGAGGACTACACACGGTTTCCCTTAAATAACACATCATACTAATAAACTGACTTCGTCTTTGGTTTGGTTTGGTTTTGTAGTCATTTTTTGTGTTTTATTCTTGTGTCAGATTTTACCTATGCTTCCTCACGGATTTGTCAGAGATTTTTTGTTCATTGTGTGTCCAGCACCCAGACTGGTATACGGTAGGTACTCAGGTATTTGTTGGTGAGTGAATGGACGAATACATAAACTTTGTTTGTTTTAATGATTTTCTTCTATTTTTTCTAACTCATTTGTATTTTTGGTTGTGGCTCCCTTTCCAATTCTGAGTAGCCATTGAACGGATTTGTTTGCTCTCTTGCAGGTTTGTTTGTTTTCTCCTTCCCACCTGAATGCCGTACATCATCATGCTTTGATTGCAGTGACTCAGGGTTCCAACAAAGACAGATGCTTTCAGCACCTGTTCCTTCAAAAGCAAGTTTAAATCATTGCCCTCCGTATAGGTCTAAAATCTATCCTGCTCTAGGAAACAGAGGAGAATGCATTCTGTGTCACATGATGGCTTTTGCGGGATGAGTCTTAGCACCATGTGGCCAGAGATCCAGGCTGCATGCTATCCAAAGTTTGGTCCACAAATCTGGGCTGCTCCATGAACCATCACCATCTGCAATAAGTATAGAAAGTGAGAACAAGCACTTAGAAACTTTTATTTGAAATTTGACGTTGCCGCAGCATCCAAGCCTCTGATTTTGCATTTTATAAAATTCGCAGTCCATGACGTGTTGGAAATAAAAGGCACTGGCCCTCTCACACACAAATAGTGTGAGAAGCCCCAGCTGAGTTCTGAGCGGGATCAAATGTAGAGGGGGCTCCATCCGTCTACAGAACAGGCTGCGAGCTTGAGGACTGTCCACATCCCATGACTTTCTGGAAAAACTGTAAACCTGGCATAATGCTTTCTGATGGGTGGGAGTCATAAGCCCTTGTATATGTTTCCGTAGGAAAAAAAGTGCTGTTTATGGAATAATAGACATTACCTGAAGTTATGCAGTATATCGCAGTTTCAAAATCAATTTGTCTTCTGTCTTTACAGCACACAAATGTAGCTGCCCTGCAAGGAAAACCTCATTCCCTGGGATAAAAAGGCAACTGTGCCAGAGGAGGGAATAATAGGGGAGACTGTACCAAGTCAGGATATACCTCATTGACACTAAAGCTGATTGATGAGCAAGGAGCCTTCTGAGTCCAGAGGAGAACAAAAGGGAAACGAGATAGACAAATGGTACCAGGACGCATGAGAAACCATAGGTGTGACACGGATGTGTGTCCTCTTGCAAGGGAAGATTAGGGTCTTTAAAGACTGACAGTTGTTGTCAGTGCAGTTGACATAAATTTTGCTAATGTTAATGGAAATGTACTAGCACGATTTACCATTTACAGCTGTTGAGTTAGAGTGAGACAGAAAGCCATTGTAGGAAGAAGAACCCAAGAGGTTTTGTACTCTTGAGTGTGAACAAATGCATATTTTAAAACCGCTATACACACAGAGTGTTCCCTCTAGTGTGTCAATTTTTATTTTTCTTTAAAGTTATTCTTACAGGGGCGCCTGGGCGGCTCAGTTGGTTAAGCAACTGCCTTCAGCTCAGGTCATGATCCTGGAGTCCCGGGATCGAGTCCCATATCGGGCTCCTTGCTCAGCGGGGGGTCTGCTTCTCCCTCTGACCCTCCCCCCTCTCATGTGCTCTCTCTCTCTCATTCTCTCTCTCAAATAAATAAAATCTTTAAAAAAAAAGTTATTCTTACAGATCGTAAAAAATCTACAGCGGATTTTGTGGTTCCAGAAAGCCTTCTAAGACTCTCTGCTTTCTCCATTTTGAGACTGTGCTTCTTGGGTTCACAGGCTTTTATTTCTAACAATTTTGGTGTTTTTTTTTAGGAAATTATGTTCTTTCATCCTTCCTCATGATGCTAGAATTAGACAGTCTCATCTGGGTTGAATCAGACGAGTCACAAAATATTCTGCAATGCCAAGACATTGCTTTTAGCTCTGGAGTGACAATGCCAAGAGCATGTGAAGTTTCTACAGATAATGGATCAAATACAAGAGCATCAAAGGCCAACCTTGAAGGGCATGAGCTGAGGCTCATGACATCTCTATGCTGCTGCAGTCAGTGCTTGCAAAGCAAGCCAGAGAGTGGACGGTGGGAGGGAAATGCCTTCACAGCTGAAATATCTCCTGGTGTCGAGGATGCAACTGGATGGCCTTCAACCTGGAGAACATCTCTTCCCTTCTATTCTTACAAGGACATCAGTCCTATTGGATCAGGGTACCACCCTTATCACCCTTATGACCTCAATTCACCTTAATTATCTCCCTAAAGGCCCTGTCTCCAAATACAGCCAGACTGGGTGCTAAGGCTTCAACATACAAACTTGCAGTGGGTGGGGGTGGGGAGCACACAATTCAGTCCGTAATATGAGTAAAAGTTTTTTTCTGTGAGTAGTAGAAACTCAACTCTCATGTTGGGTTGTCCAGGGGAAGAGTGTCTCCACTTTCCATTCCAGAGCTCAACAGAGACCCAGTTTCAACAGCAACCACAGAAATTATGTTCAGTTATGTGCATAGATTCAAAGACAATTACTCTCAGGTGCACAAACTATTTTAAGATTCTGTGGGTCTATTCTACCCAAATTAATTACTATCTGTAAGAAGCACAAATAGCACTCATTAAACCAGGCTGGATTACTGCAGGGTGTTAACGGTGTTTACGTGTCCGTCATCATTGGAAATCACATTAACATCGCTTCCCTCATTTATTTATCCAGAGCACAGTGAATGAGCAGGCCTTGAGTTAGAAGGTTTCGAGGCCACCAAAATGTATCAGAAACTAGAATGCCTCCGCCTTGTTTCATGAATCTCAGGGCAAGGTGAACCACTTCTGTACACTCCAAGAAGAGAATTGTGAAAATGCAGATGTTCCAGAAAATATAAGTAAACAATAAATAAATAAATGTTATCACTCCTTGAAATCAGCTTGTATCTGTCAACTGCACAATTACTTATAGCCAAGATTCACACTTCAGGGGACCCCAGAAAAGGGATTTCTGCTTCTTATTACTGTTCAGTGTTTGTTTTGTCTTGGTTTAGTTTGGTTTGCCTCCCACTCTTGCTGACTTATCACGGCTTCCAGCATCTCTCTGTCCTCTTCTTTCAAAGGTTTTCCATTTTTCTTTTTACAAACTTGATGCTTCTCTGCTTCCCACCCCTGCTTCCCACCAGTCTTTGCTTTGAGTTCCTGCCTCCTGCAAGAAATTCCCCCTCCTCTCCTTCATGTCTCCCTCTACCCTTGCCTACCCTGAGAGGCAGGCTCTTACCAGAGACCCTGAGTCGATGTCTTAAACGTACCTTTAGGAAGTGCCTTCTTTCCACATGTAGATCTTTCTGGGAAGAACCAAGCACGGTCCGTCATCTAGACCTGGGAGTCTCCATGAGAAGGCTGCCCCTGAAACTGAAGAGCACTGGGCATTCTCTTTGCACACAGCAGAATTCTTTCATCTCAGAGAATTCAATTCTCTGAGCACTCTGAATGCTAGATTGAAGCAGATCAAGCCTCAGTGGATGCTTTAATAACTGTATCTTCCCTCACAAGGGCTGTATGCTTGTAGTGGATCAGACTTTTTAAAAACAGAGGCACACTCTGGTCTCCTTGTTGCTCAGTTTCACAATTTTGAACCGTGAGCTTCCTTGTTGTTGAAGTTGGGTCTCTGTAGGCCTGGTGCCAGGACACTTTCTACTTGTAGGGGGAGAATTACTGGGGTTTTCACTGTGGGATTACATTACCTCTACCTTCCCTGTGAGCCAGCAGCCGGCTCATCCTCAAACCCCAGCACTTGTGCAGTGTGGAAGATGTGACCATGGGGAACGAGACTCGGGACAAGATAAACAAGGGCTAAATGACTAGAGAAGCTGAAGTTTCTCCCAACAATGATTATTAGGCTACTCTGATAAGGAGCTTCAGACCAATTCTGGCCATTAAAGAAATGCCGTAACCCTAGAGTCAGAAGTCTCAAGAATGGGACGGATTTAGTCCTCATAAGAGAAGCTCAGTGAACTGAAGGGGATACTTGGTGATATCAACGTCAGCAGAGTAGGGGAATTTTTTTAAGTAAATAACAATGATTTATACAATTTGCATAACAAGCAAACCCACAGTCAACTAGCTGGAGCGCTGTATATACTAACTGGAGGCAGATACACTGTTGCCTCCAAGTAAAAGTTTCCAGTAATTTCTCAAGACCAGAAGTGACCTGGTGAACAAATACAGCAAGTAGTCTCAATACCACAG